AATCTACAAGACAATCGTATTCATTATAAGTAAAAAGAGACTATAGTGAATAATTTTGTTTTACTACTTAATAGAATTTCGAATGTACACCTACATAACAGTTGCAATTGATAAAGGATAAAATATTTCTTTTTAATAACCTATGCTAATCAAAAAAATAAATAGTTACCAACATAACTAACTAAAATTAGTGTTAAATACTTAAATACATAAAATAGGTAGATTCATTTCGAGATGTAGTCATTTGGTCTCGAGTGTAATTATAGTAATAAGTAATACACTTATACTAGGTATATAAAAGAAATATAAGACACTATTTAATAATTTAAGAAGTAAGTGTATTGATAAATCTTAAAAGGAATCAATAGAATTTGAGTCCTACCTAGTACCTACATAAAAAAAATATGTGGTCATGTTGTATGAAATAAAAAATAATATAGATGAAGGGCATAAGATCTGTTAAGCTCGTAATTGTTTAGAAATTTAATTTAATTAAAACCAATTCTACCAATTTTATTCTATATTTTGTTTTAATGTATACATTATATTATACATATTATTATATTCCTGATCTTTATCTATTAGTTTTGACTTTTGAATAATAATAAGTAGGTATATTAATACCACTTTAACACATTGGCTATGGAGATTTTAATAATATTAAAAATACATATGGTAAAACATAAAATAAACTTAAATATATAGATATTTACACAGTACGTTCATACATTCAGTTATATAGTTCTTAATAAAACGATAAAATGATGCAAATTATTTTTGAATATACTAATCAATCAGATCAATTAATATAATATAAGAACCAGGTAATAACTCTGGTAAGTGGTAATTATACTATATGCAGACCAAATGCAGATATTAAAGAATTTGATAAATAGCTGAGTATTTCATGCTCAATTGAAAATATAGCCAAATAATTTATTTAATTAAGTGTGTTTGATATGTTTTAAATACCAAAAATAAAAAATACTGTTATTTTGATCATATAATAAATACCCGAGGATATTAGTCATAATTTATTAAAATTAGGTATACCGTGTGTCCACAAAACAGGGTTCACTGTATAATTAAATCTCCTACAGACATATTTCTAAAATATGTATAGGATACTGAGTTATTGAGTGTACCCAGTTTTCACGAACACACGGTATAAGTAGATTATTCTTTTTTATACAAAAATGTTATTCTTAAATTTTTTTTTTTATCTTTAGAATAATTGGGATTTAATTAAAGTAAAAAAATAATAATTTATAGGTAATTACTGTATGATTTAATACTTATTATAGTTTTATTCAGTTTTAAATAAGTAGGTACTGCCTACATTTTTAAGAAAAAAAAACATAGTATAAAATATATATGAGTAAATATATCAGATTCTCATACACAATGTATTAGTCATTCTTAAGGGGAAAAACTTAATATAATAATGCATATACATATACATATACACAAAAGGGTCCTATTGATTCAGAGATTAACATACAGGGGGAGGTACATTTTATGTTGGTGCACAGTCCACAGCGCATAGTATGTTCCCTACTTCCTAAACTAAATGACATTTTCTTGGAGGGTGAGATCTCAATAGCTTCAAATAAAACATAATTTATGACTCCTGGGACAGTTACGCAAGTTTAGAAGGGCAAAAGTTTAATGGATAAAAATGTTTGGGGTGGTAGTTCCTGTTTTCTTAACATTGTCAACTTAGGAGAAGAAATTTAGCTAGTTATAGAATCCATCTAAAAACTTTAATGTTATATAAATAAAATAGAATAAAGAAGTAAAAAGGTAGGTAATATTTTATAACATTATAAACTGACGTAATCATAATTTAACTAGTGATATGTATAATACTATATACTAATATCTAATATCAATAAGTATTACTCCCATTAGACACATATTTCATCACTATTTAAACATAAATTATAATACTTAGTACAAAATAAGATAAGACAAATCAATTAAACCCATTCAAGTTTACTATTACTTATAATGTTTATGTATAAAATAAACAGCTATGGAAATCATAATCATAAATATTATTTAGGTACCTAATTGGAAATTATAAGTAAATTACTTAAATTACTAGACTAAAAGTTTTCTGAAAAAGTATAGGTATACAAATTAAATATACTTAAGTTATTAAGGCCTGCTTTAGATAAATGTGTATTGGTGTGTGAAATACTTCTGAAGTTCATAATTTTTACCACAACGACATGGGCATAATTTACTCTAAATGGGAGTGAACAATGTAAATTGAAACACAGTACACAATGGATTTGGGGTATAATTATCGACTACCTATTACTTTTAATTTACACAGTTTGTTATCATTTTATAGATTATAAGATTAATAGTAGTATTTAGAAACATAATGAAATCTAGAGATCAATCCATTCATATATATTATGTACTTGTACCTATATATTGTATACCTACTAACAACTCTACTTATTAGATAGGTACATCACAATATAGAAACTATTAATTATTTTGACAATAATAAAAATAAAAACCAGCGTATCAATTTAAAAATAAATTTACACTATTAATTGGCACATAATATAATCAGTATATTATATTATTATCTAGTAGGCACACCTATAGATAAAGGTTTATCAGTAGATAGCATATTGTAGAAGTATCCAAAATATTACTGAAGAGTGATGACAAACAATAATAAAATATAAATATAATTATTTGAAAGTAGTTAGGTAGGTACTCTGTCCAGCGAAAGAACATACCACAGCAAATTGGTTCTTCTGTACCCTTACTTGACACCCTGCCATAGTGTCACTGGTCTCGATAGCAGGATGTCACGAGGGAATGCGCCGAATCCACGTATTCTCTCACTGGACAAAATATATATACTATTTTTTTTTTTTATAGATAGAAGATACTATTATTGAATGGGAATAAATACCAGAATACTTAAGTAAAAATCAAACTGTTAAAATAGGTACACTCTTCAAAGTCTTGTTGTTTTATGGTTTAGTGAGTAGAATATACATTTTTAAATAAATAATTTACATGATACGAACGTAGGTATTTATATTTTATTTACCCACTAACCTAATGCCCAAGCATATTCTATTTTTTTCAAAAATCACTATTTATTTCAGTAAGTAAATACCTAATTAGAAAGAAAACAGATTTCCTAATTTTTTACTCATTAGTTCAAATCGAGGTTAAAATATTACATCTAAAATTTTATTGTAGGTAATTTTGTGTACCACACTACCATAATACATTCAAATTTAAAGCATTATTATATAATTTGATAGTAATGTGGGTACCTATTTATTTGAAATTTTATAAAAGGAGCAGAATTGTATACAATATGTAACTGCTATACTTCCTAATCATAAGTAACATATCTAGTACCTAACACAATGTACCTAACTAAGTACTAAATATATTTTTGAAGTATAATAATGCACAATAATGCAACGTTATTGTATATGAAAACAGTGATTTTTTGTTGAAACTTTTTATAGAAATTAAAATAATGGTTTACCTATACCTAAATTGATTTTTTGTAGTTACATTCTAATCGTGAACAATTCAAGAAGGAATAGCAAAACAATTGTGTATGCTTTTCTTGATGTTGGGTAACTCCATTCGCTATCTAATCTATGTTTATCGAATTGTATAAGCATGACATATGGTCAGGCCCTGATTTACGCAAGTGCAGATGGAGCACTTGCACTTGGCCCCCAATTTTTGGGGGCCCCCGATCTCCGTGAATTGTAGAAAATTTTCTGTATTAAAATTTTTTTTTAAATTAATTATTTTTAATAAATTCTAATTCCCATAGACCTTATACTAGTATAAGTTATTCTTCACCTCAATACGTCATATTAAAATAATAATAATAGAAAATTGTTCGAACATCGGAAATATTTGATACATAATAACTATTTATAGATTTCTTCCAGCCCAGTATTTACTGATTAACCGGTTGTTGGTGACGCATTTCGCACCCACAATTACCATTTTTAGAACTATTGGTTTAGGTTATTCAGTTATCCACGGAAATGAATATCGCAAAACAAATGTTATAAATAAACTAATATATATAAAAAAAAATTTGAATCAGTTATCGAAACTTTTGCAGAGAAAAAAGCAAGAAAGAAATCTTTTTAAACTTTTTTTGTGATAAAATGTTATAGCTAAATAAAAATATAAATATAGAAAATATAGAAATGATTTATTTTTCATTTCATTTTAATTGTATAAAATAAATTGTGAAATTAACAATTTATTTACCATTTTTATAATTTTATGGAAGATTGATAATTAATTATGTTATTTAATTAGTATTATTTTTTCAATGTCCTTAATTTACCAGACCAAGTAACTAAATTGTATTTATAGTATATGAAATAATGTACAAATATTTTATGAATTTTGAGATATTTATTTAATACTTAACATATAAATATTTTGTTTTATTATCAATATTTCCTCCTACTTTGTGTATAGATTTTTTCTAGAACATTTTTTTGACTTGTGGTGGTGGCCGGTGGGGGTAGAGGGCCCCCAAAAAAATTGTGCACTTGGCCCAAATTTTATTAAATCAGGGCCTGCATATGGTTATCGTGGTTATCTAAATCAAGATAATTGAATTAAAAATAAAAGTGCATGACAAGTTGTACTTCAATGAAACAAATGAAATTGTATATTAATAGATTTTATATTTGTATAAAATCATTTTAGAATCACTTGTAATAGGTACCTACATGATACATTAGATGCCAATTGATAAGTAGGTACATAAAGATCTAATAAATATGACTTCTAAAGAGCACTTTATAAGATGAGAACCAGAATGAGATTGAGTATATAATAATATAAGTACTATTTGAATTTTGTATATTATGGTTGTATAAAGTCTCTGTTCTACTATGAACACAGCAACTTATGATTGATAAACCCGTGCAAATCGTCACTTGTAACAATAAATATAATAATAATTTTACCTGATTTAGCAGCAACTGTTGCTATTCCTAGTCCGATGGTTAACGCACCACCCAAATCTCGCTTCAGCAACATGATCGAAATCGAAGACACAATGGGCCCCAGACGTTATCCGCGTTCTCGTTCCTTGTTATCAGACGAATATTGTTCTTGTCGAGCACAGCAGCTGCATTTCGGTCTGCGGCGTTCGCACGCTCGCTTTAACGTCTGTGTAATAAAAACAATACGAACCACCAATAACTGTTAGTTTGCGGAGAGTGCGATAAGCTCGAGCGGAATTATTACGGATGTTGGTGAATTTAAAAATACAAAATGACAAAAAAAATAGATGATTAGAAACAACCAGCGCCACTAGACGAGAAACGGAGATAAACACAGAACGGACGCGAGAACCAGAATGATGCTGGCGGGGGCCTTGGTAGTCTGCGCTCGGTTCTGGTCGCTGGAGAAAATAATAAAAAATATGGTATCGGTATGTATTCGATTGTGGTCGTCTGGGGGGCATGGGATGGAAAACCAAATTAATTAGAAAACAGCTGATAGGAAGTGGCATGGAAGAAAAACGTAAAACTACGATGATTGGCCACGACGCCGCTGATGCTATCAGCTCAAAATGTTATAAACAAAATTGAAAATAGTATCTCTTTTCACAATGTTTGAAATATTTAAAATTTTGAATGTTATTGTAAATTGTAATTTATTGTTTATTTTTTTTAATTAATATTTTTTAGCATTGAAGCGTGACGGTGACAATGTGACATAATATGCATGAACATCAGAACATGGCACATTGACACACCTAATACCTTCCACCTTATTCCAATACTCAAATAGTCCAATGCAAGATAAATGATAATATACAAACCTTGTAAACTCCATTCATAACAATTGTGTCCAGTGACCACAAACCTAAATGTAACAAAATCTAAATTTAATAAAACGAGTGTAATTCTATTCCAATACCTATTATAAATGGTATAATATCAAGTAAATATTAATTATTAGATACCTAATACATTTTATAATCGTATTCTAAAGAAATATTTAGAGTTTAGATCCTTAACGGAGCGATAAATGTATTTTCGTAATGGTTCTACTTTTGATCATTCTATAGATGCTACAATGATCAATCATCGATGAATGTTTTATTTTTGTGTCCTTCATAAAATTGTCGTGCAGAAAGAATGCTTCAATCTTCCTATGTTGAGGGTGATTTCTGGAAGAAAATTTTATCTAAAATTCAATAATAATTATGTCTATAGTTACTTTGGTGGTCAAAAGTAGAAAATTCTTAATAGGTACTAACTTATTTTAATAATCGAGAGAAAACAGGGAAAATATTTCCCTCTCTGTAGTTATCAATCCATACAAAAATAATTATCTACATTTACCTATAAAAATTAAATTAATTTGCAATATCAATTATATTATAACATAAGCAAGCACATACTCAGGATTTTTGTTTGGGCACTTACAAATGTTACTACTTTCTTTACATACAACTAAACAATAACCAATAATTTTTAATGATAGTTTTTTTCCATAAATCTCAATTTTATTTTCAACGTATTTATCTATAAATTGGCGATTGTTGTAAAATATTTTCATTCATCATTGTTATATAGGTATCTCAGTATCTGTGACAAAACATTATTCTATAATAATCTTTAATGTAATATAAAAATATCATTTTTTGGGGGCTTCAGCCATAAAGCCGGGGGGGAGGGTGCTCACCATTGAACTTAAGTCTTAACAGTTAACATGCTATTAATATGAAATTGTTGATACCAATATGATATGTAAGTAGTTGGTACCTAGATAAATTGTTAATAAAATAACATTATAATAATAATTTAAAAAAATGAATTTCATTAAACGATCATTTGAGTTCCAATATGAATTTCATACACATTCTCGTTCTATTTGATATGACAACCTACCTATATAAGTAATTGTATGCAGACTTGTAAAGTATTTGAAATGTATTTAAACAATTTTATAGTACCTACCATTGAGTATAGATAGTAATATAGTATACTATTACTATCTAATATCTATACTCAATTATAGTACCTACCTAAATTACTTTTTAAATCCTTCTTGAATTAAGTATATTTGAAAAGTATTCTAAATACTGTCTTAGACGTATTTGTATTTGAAAATAAAATACTTCTAGATTATGTAAATACTTATCAAAATGCATAACAATTATTTGTCAGTTTGTCACAGTCACATTTCAGGTAGGTACATGTACACTATAATAGCCTAGGTATAATATGTTAATTTATATTCCATTTTATTCTGTAAAATGCAGTAGACTAAGGTATAGTTAATAATTATTTATAAATAAAAAAACAGATCTCAGTGAACAAAGTAATACACAATTATTTTAATGTAACTAATTTAATTTTTTTTTTTATTATAATCTTTCCAGATTCCTCTAAAAAAACCATTGTTGAAATCCTGGGTGTAGTCATTTTTCACCAAAAATCCTGTTCCCTAATTATTTAAGCATAGGCAATATCCGCCAAAATCCTACGAAATTTATTTTTACTAGTTTCAATAGTATGCAGTTAGTTTTGATATTAGAATGAATTTACCTACTATCAAATGTTTATGTATGAACATTATCTGTGCTTAAAGTTTAAACATCGGTTTTTATTCGATATTTTAATTTTCAAACGATATAGGTATGAACATTTTTATTTTTTGATATTTTACATACCCATATCTTGCTTGAAAATGAATATATTGAAAATTGCCTACGCTTAAGCACAGATAATGTTCTCACCTAAAAGTTCAATTCACTCTAATATCAAAAATTTTAAATGCTCATATCCCGCTTAAAAATTAAAATATCGAATAAAAGCTGACGCTTAAGCTCAGACAATGTCTATATATTCATTCAAATATCAAAACTAACAGTACATTATTGAAACTATAATGAACGAAAATTTGGTATGTCGTATGTGTGTTGTGTGTAAGACGGAGACAACAAATGCATAGGTTGCATTATCTTATGGTATAATATCCCAAACCTTTTTGGTGAAAATGACTGTGGTGAAGACGATAAATATAATTTTAATGGAAACTGGTAACAGTATAACACCCAAAATCTCCTCGATCCCATTCATATAAAAAGACATTAAAAGACAGCTATATAATAATATAATATAGGTATATCGATCTTTGAAATAATACAATTTGATATGACTGGGTAAATGTAATTCATATTTTTTGTTAAAGAGTTTATTAGGTACTTATTTATTAGGTACCAACTGGCTACTGTAGGTACTTCTTAAACAAATAGTTAGGTTAGGTATAGAATATTATATAGCAATATAAAGATATCATTAGACGTAATATTTAGGTATTAATCATTCAATAAAAACGAAAAATACTAATGCATAATATAAAGAATTACCTAGGTACGTAATAAATAGGTACTTATTAAATTATGTTTTCAGTTTTGTATCTGAATAGTTTTAGCACGAAAACGTGGAAGCCAGAAGGTGAAGAAAGATAGTCAGAGTTATCATACAGATATATAATTTGTTCAGGTGATGAGAACATTTTTAAGGGGTATTTGATAGGCAATTTTTTAATTGACTTGGTCTCATATTTTTGTTACTCATTTGTGTGAGCTGATTAGTGAATATAATTAACTATTTAGAATATATTAAATTGTTTAGTATGAGTGTCCTCACGTCCATCACGGCACCACAGTCACAAGCCGAATTGTCTAGTCCTTATCTCTGCGGGCTGCGTTGCGATCTTATGATGTGTTCTGTATTCCTGTCCGATTTAATTTAATTTTAAAATAATAATAAGCTTGATTATATTTATGTACATATTATTTAAGCTATAGGAGAAGTGTCCATCATTTCGGAAAAACTGAGCCACATTAAGCAAGTAGAAGTTGCCGTGGGTCACATGCATTTTTATAATTATATATTTTATTTAATATTACAATAGTGAATAGTTTCTAATAACGCGTTATATTCTTAATTGTACAATAGACTACTGAATAGAAATATTTTTACAAAAATATACCTACCTATTTACCAATGCCATTTATTATTTGAGTAAATGCAGTGTAAATACTTTGATTTTTTTTTTTATGTTAAAGAAATTCTCTCAAGTAGGAATGTAATATAGACCGACGAGTTCCACAGTGATTATTAATTTTTTTCACTTTTTAGCCGATCACAATAATGCATTAAGGATAAACATTCAATATTTCGTGTGTGTTCCACTAATAGGATAGGTATACAAAATTGTATTTGGGATTTTCATGCATATATATCAAAATAAATACTTAGCAGTGGGCCAATGCCTTGGTGTAGCGCGGTGGTCGCATTCAATCATGAAACGTGTCCTGACTCCTGATTGCAAGCACCAGCCGGTGTCAGTAGTTCCTGGATGGGTGACCAGTGACCACCATGGTTTTTAGTGATAAATCCTTGCCTCACAACACCCACATGTTCCAATCCAACAGTACCCCACCCTTACCCCTCTATTAATAGCTAATGGTCATAATTGATGGACTAAAGATCAATTAAAAAAAAAGTTTAACAATTTGGAGTATAATAATGGTATTGAGATTCGCGTGATGTGATGAATTCAGAATTTGGATTTGAAAATTGAAAACCAATTGATTTTGCTTTATTTGTTATTATAGCGGCAACAGAAATACATAATTTGTGAACATTTCAACTTTCTAACTTTCATGGTTCATGAGGTACAGCCTGGTGACAGACGGACGGACAGCGGAGCCTTAGTAATAGCCAATAGTGTCCCGTTTTACCGTACTGAACCATAAAAACTATGATTAACAACATTACTTAACATTGCTGATTTTCGATAGCTACCTTAATTTTTAATTTTCTAAATATTTAAATGTATACCTATACACAAAAAACCTACATCATAGTCAATTATAGATAACTTTGACTTTTATAATATATTTTTTGTTTCATCAATTTTGTGTCTTCAAGTTGATAAAATATAGAAATTCATTCAAATTAAATTTCACGATTACACAATAATAACTTTACTACTTAGCATTCGCATCC